CATTTCATTTGAAATACTGAGCTTAATACAAGGAAACATCAGTAAAGCATGAAACGACACAAGCGAAGGATGCTCCCTGCCGGCGCGGGCGAAGACAGTCCCGGGAGCTCCTATTGACCACCACACCACCTGCTACCGAGTAGAGTTCATCCATTCTAGTCAATTTAGAACCTCTAAGTCTCTCTTTAATATCTTTCAATGTATTTTTTCATGTATTCCAGATCTAAAATTAGGTATATATCGACGCTTGAAAGGCAAACGTGACTAAGCGACAATAACTGCTTTGTACATAAATGATAGGCAATAACCATATTCGATGCGCAAAAAAATATGTTTCTAGGTCTATTAAAATCATTTCAATCCTACAGCTAGATTCGTCAAAATAGATTTTTTTTCAGGTATTTCAACTTTAAATTAGTCTACTGTAAAGTTCACGCATTTTCGCTTAGTCACGTTTGCCTTTCAAGCGTACATAGATGCATTAAAAATAATAATAAGTTTGAAAACAGTTTTTGATGATAACCAATCGACTGGCAATGTTTTTTTATTGCATAGTTCGGTGGACGAACTCAGAGCCCACCTGGTATTAAGCGGTTAGCCCATAGACATCTACGACATAAATGCCGCCATCCACCTTGAGATATGAGTTCCAAGGCTTAAGGCTTCACGGCAGAAACGGGCAGGGTGGTGGTACCTACCCGTGCGGACCCACAAAAGGTCCTACCACCAGTAATGTCCCTAGCATTGCTGACGTGCCTGAGCAACGAGCATCACTGTGGCTCGGATGGGCTGTAAGCTCATCTGTCAGCGACATCTATAAAAAAATCTTGTCAGCAACTCGACAGCCCTATTACAATACAGCTGCAATACAATATAAAGTTTTACGAGAACAAGGCGTAGGGAATGAACGGCGCTAACAAGTGCCGCAGTTACAAAAACGCCCAATTACATACTATAATTTATGGCATGCGTAAATCTTTGCATTAATACATTTTCGAGGTTTTACGAGTAACAATTTGATAATTTTAATTTATATTCTTCTGAACTGGGCTCGTGGTAAAGTCGTTAAGTTTCTAATTATTCAGTTTTAATTAAACATGTTTTACTTGTTTCGATTTTTTCTGTTGCACGGGCAGACATGCTAGTGGCTAACCTAGTATTAAGTGTCCGCTAAGCACTTAATGTCCGTAGATTATATACCAAGTCCAAGAGAAGTCAATGGTATTGTAATAACGATTTTTCTATCAAACCTCAGGACTGATAGATATAGTCATGATTATAAAATTAACTGAAGACATCTATCAATGGGTTACACCCACCAGCTACTCATAAAAATATGCTGGTTTTGCTTTTTTTTTCCTATTACTTAGGCGGGCAAACTCACAGCTTACCTGACGTTAAGTAGTTATGAGAGCCCATAGATATCAACAAAGTAATGCTGCAACCCACTTTGAGACATGAGTTCTAAATCTTAGTTTTAAATTACAATTCTGACTGCCCCAACATTTAAACAAATACGCATTGCCTTCACGCCAAGCTTTCACGACAGAAATAGGCAGGGTGGTAGTACCCGCCCGTGCAGGCTCACAAGACGGCCTACCATCAGTAAGTCATTCGTTTTATTCATGAATTGGTATCACTCGATACGAGTCCATCGAGCGACTCAACCATTCCTATACGAACCTTTATGTTGGCAAACACACTAGGGCTTAAAACGGGACCCCTCCCTACTCCGTTAATAACCCGAGCATAATTACAAGAGCATCTCTGTCCTGAGCTCCCACGAGCACGAAATGCCAAAACAACTATAATTTTTATGAATTTGAAATAAACAAACCAATACAGTTTGAACTCTCAAGAGATCGAACCGTTTTCCAATACACGCGGACATTAATATGACAATAGACCGACAACTCTCTAACTAAATTGGGTATTATGAACTTTAAGAAACTTCGTAAAAAGCATATCCTTGTTTTTGTACTACGTTAATAAAATGTAGGGAATAATAAAATTTATAATATACTAGCTGACCCGGCAGACTTCGTAGTGCCTNAGTTTGAACTCTCAAGAGATCGAACCGTTTTCCAATACACGCGGACATTAATATGACAATAGACCGACAACTCTCTAACTAAATTGGGTATTATGAACTTTAAGAAACTTCGTAAAAAGCATATCCTTGTTTTTGTACTACGTTAATAAAATGTAGGGAATAATAAAATTTATAATATACTAGCTGACCCGGCAGACTTCGTAGTGCCTCAATCGATACATAAAAGACCTAAACTTTTGTATAAAATAAACTTAAAACAAACAAAAGGAATCCGTCCGACGGGGGACACATCAAAGGAAAAACAAAATTGTAATTTTTATTTAATTCCGAGCATTTTCATATTTATTTACCTTTTAAACCTTCTCTGGACTTCCACAAATCATTCAAGACCAAAATTAGCCCAATCGGTCCAGCCGTTCTCGAGTTTTAGCAAGACTAACGAACAGCAATTCATGTTTATATATATAGATAGATACATACTTCGAATGATCGATGAATATAATATTAAATGAGTGGATTTGCATGTCTGGATATGCACAGTTGGATTACCTTTATTAATAAATATATTAAGAGAAGATAAAACGGTCATAACGTGTTTGAAGTTCATATTATTCTGATTCAATTTAAAAATAGCGCATTCCACCAACTATTGAAGAAGACTACATTTTCCAATTCCCTACTTTATGGGATATTGCCAACATACCGCATACCTATCCGCGTACCATATCCATATACATATATCGTGCGTTCCGTTCTGAAGAGTTGAGCAAAACTTTTACCGACGTAGTTAAATCTTGAGTCGTGTGTCTCAAAGAGCCCAGTGTGTGACACTTTCAGTCTTTATAAGTCAGACTTTATAAGAGTTCGGCTTTGTACAACAATCTGAACGTATTTATTGTGGTCCCACGAGAAATTTAACAACAAACAAAACTTTTTATTTTTCCTTAAACTTTCACCAATGACCACCGGGAATAGTATATTTCCGAAGATTCCCACCGGGGTATTGCCTCATTGAAATAAAAAAGGTATTACTTTAAAGAGTACGGCTTAAATATTATTGTTGTTTAACCGAGATACCGACACGCTTGCGGCCCAGTTACGGCTCAGTTACATGACGGTAATTTTTGAATGCACCAACTGGACATAACATTAAAGATGATGTTTTGCTAAAAAAAAATTGCTTAGTTGGTTGGACGAGTTCATGGCCCACCTGGTGTTAAGTGGTTACCGGCGCCCATAGACATCTACAGCGTAAATGCCGCCACCCACCTTGAGATATGAGTTCTAAGGTCTCAGTATAGTTACAATGGCTGTCCCACCCTTCAACCCAATAGCCAGGGTAGTGGTACCTACCCGTGCGGACTCATTAGAGGTCCTACCGCCAGTAGTCCGAAGGTCTAATTGTATTAATAAGAGGTTATTAAAGCCCACAGATACGACAAAATAAATTCAAGTTTCAATTGTTATATTTATTCATAAATATATAATTATTAGCACCACCGATGTATTCGTACATCACAGTGTAATGATAACCTATATCCAAGCTCCCTAGTTCAATAACGAATATGATACTACTCCGTAAACATCAGAGCTAAACGCAATAGATCAGAATAAACAAAAACGTATTACATCAGACCGAAGATGCCGGTGAGGTAGCACTTGCTTCTAAATAAACAAGCTCCCTTATGTATTCAACAGGAGTTGCCTATCGCAATTTTGGTTGGCGTCCAGCCTCGCCTTGCCTGTTTATGACAGCCTCCGGGCATTCTTTGCCTTTCAATATCCTAAATTATTTACCAGTTGGTCGATAAACCGACCGGTAACCCTTTAGCCTACGAGACGTAGCCCTCGGATGCAGAGCGGACGGTTAGATACTGAAACAACCTCGTTTGGGTGAACTCCTTATATACCTTTATTATTTATTTTGCTTATTTTTGTGGTTCATTTTGTTTTTAGGCTACGATGATCAGTGTGTTGTTCGTCTGAACAGCCGACATGCTACGGATTAAGAACAAAACTATTCCGTGCTTGAAGGCCAAACCTGAAATATATAATGCTTCCTTCCATTGACCCGGACTTAAAAAATAGTCAATAGAGTGACCAAAGTCTACTGTAACTAAGGTTATTTAGGATTCTGGACTATAGATCCGCATTTTAAAAAGATGACGACAAATTATTATCTACTACTGTTGGATTTTCTTTTTTTGGTCAAAAACATTTTTACTGAATGAATTACTGAATAAATACTTTGAGGTGTAGCAATAAATTAACATCACAGAATTTTAAATACAAATTATCCCATAAAATTATGTCCAGGTTTGATGTTTTGTAAATTTGTTTTACAAAATATTCCAACAAACATTCAAACAGTCGAAAAAAATTACTGAATTTTTTGGCATTTACTTCGTAATATTTTTTCAGTTACTTCAACGCATAAAAACACCTAATCTTAAATACAGTATACATCTATAGATATTCCGTGTATAAGAATACTAATTACGTGTTAAGATCGAAGGCCTTATTAATGCCCGCCACAATAATTGCTTTTCACGAAAGCGCGACTACATGCATTGATCGATCACTAACAGTTACGTTGCTTCTTCAGTTTTTCTTCTTTTGGTAAATTCAATTACTGAATTAGCGAATACATTATTTTAGGGGTAATCACTGTCAGCAGATACATCGAGTCTGGAAATATAATGTAGAAGCCAGGACTCGAACCTCCGATATTTTGTTTAATGCATACATGCAATTATATCTCAAGCATGTATATCGCAAAAGTACTGTACAGTATAGTAATAAAAAAATTGTAAACTCCTTTTCATACAAAAACCAATTTATTAGAGGCAAAAAAAACAACTTAACTAATAAAAGTTTCGCGCACTGTAATTAAAGAATTAAAATACTTGCTTGAGTAAAGAAATTTTAGAAAAACACTCTCTCTTACCTGAGATTGTGATCGGTTCCTGTAATTTCACGTTTAAATTGTAATATTATGAACACGCGAACAACCGAGGAAGGTTTAAAGGTTGAATCGGTACGAACGTCCACTCGGAGCGACGGCCTGAGCCCTACTGGATGTGTATGATACTAAGCTTACAAAGTTAGAAGTTTTAACATCGTTTACGGAAAAGTGGTCTATTTCGGTCATGATTTTTTATGACGTTTTTCTTATACGGCTAATAAGATCTTATTTTGGACCTTATTAACAGATGAATTGAATACATTTCAGATACGTAATTTTATTAGNCGAACGTCCACTCGGAGCGACGGCCTGAGCCCTACTGGATGTGTATGATACTAAGCTTACAAAGTTAGAAGTTTTAACATCGTTTACGGAAAAGTGGTCTATTTCGGTCATGATTTTTTATGACGTTTTTCTTATACGGCTAATAAGATCTTATTTTGGACCTTATTAACAGATGAATTGAATACATTTCAGATACGTATTTTTATTAGCATAGGTTGGCCGTGCTGGAACTGTAGATTTATATGCGGCGAGTCCAGAAAATGCCTGCGTTGCTTTTTAAGTCCAGCGTCCCCTGACCGCCAAGACTGAATTCGAAAAGGACAAAGGAGTCGAGTAGCCGTGACTCATACAAATATTGCCAATTCAACGCTCGAGACGTTGGACTGGCAATCATCACTCTCTCTCAGTCGGTTGGTCTTTTTTTTATTTTTTTTATTGCTTAGATGTGTGGACGAGCTCACAGCCCACCTGATGTTAAGTGGTTACTGGAGCTCATAGACATCTACAACGTAAATGCGCCACCCACCTTGAGATATAAGTTCTAAGATCTCAGTATAGTTACAACAGCTGCCCCACCCTTCAAACCGAAACGCATTACTCCTTCACGGCAGAAATAGGAAATAGTCGCGCGTAGCTTACCAGGAAAGCTCAATATCCACCCAGGGCTAAATTATAACTAGAGTCCATTAAAATGATAAAAGTAGATGACATAACTTTGAACAGCGTTAGCTGAGCCGCCTCTTGTTGCCATTTTTTTTTCTTTTCTTTAAGTTATCTTCTTATAATAATCGAAATTTGTGTGAACGGCAATAAATCATTTTATTTATTATTTATTTATTTCTTACATAAGGACGAAGTCTCAATCCAATCTGGGTCAATGGGCAGCTTACAAACCAACATGCCAACGGTTCAATACAACCTCTTAGATTTGATCCAAACGCAGGCCCAAATAAGCCATACAGCTATCTGCCTTTTTTGGCAATAAATAAAAATACTAATGCATTTTTAGATTTTCTAAACATCAAATCCGTGCTGCATCAATCGTGTTTTATATAAGTACCCAGTTCTATTAATTCTTCAATTCGAACTTTACAGTTTTTCTATATACTTTTTCATCTATCTATGTAGGTATTATCGCAGCTATCATGCAATATGGACAAGCAGTGACAATTCTAATAATAAACGCTAAGTATATTAAGAAAATAAGTTTGTTATTTGTATTCACTTAATGGAAGTATTAAAATTAAAAAACCTGAATCAATGAAACGAAATCCTACAACCGTCCCAAATACTACTTGCATGTCATTTATGGCCTTATACGTGACATAAGGGATGCCATACGTGACGTCAGAAAACTTCAACAGTTACCAAACATCTTATAGTCTAGATAGGTAAATGAGCTAACCCGCTCGATTTTAGGCAATTACCGGAGCACGAACAAGCCACAAGCTGGAACGCCAGGTTGACTACTCAGTGGAGAACAGCGGGTATATGAAGCCAATCAAACCAGAACGCCTGACCGCTTCGTGACGACACAGAGAGGTAGCAACTACCCCTGGGATCATGACGTGTCTTATCAGCTGTACCGAAAACAGAAACAAGGGGATGATCTTGCATAGATCGAATCTTTGTCTGACCTATTTTAATAGGTGTAGTTTACTGCTTTCACGTCGCGGCGTCTTGAGGGTATAAAATAAATAATAGTTTAAAAAAACTAACAAAATCCGCTTTTCTAGAAAATCCAACTATAAAATAGAAAATAAATTTTAATAAATTTGAATTAAAAATAGTGTAAAAAAATATTTTTTATTATAAAAAAGCGTGGGATGCTTTTTAGGATATTATCAAAATAGCCCTTCTACTCATATCTGTTCATAAAATATTTATAACTACTGATACCATGCATCCCACGCTTTTTCTTACAATAAAATAAGTTTTCTTACACTATTTTTAATTCAAATTTTTTAAAATTTATTTTCTAATTTTTAGTTGGATTTTCTATAAAAATGTATTGTGTTAGTTTTTTAAAAAAAAAGGGTGCGTGTACTTATGTACGCGCATAAGAAGTTATACTTTACTTTTATTAATATTTTTTTTTAATATTAAATAATTAATAATAAATATTTAACGTTCATAATTTAATAATATTTAGTATGAATTATATTAAATAATAATTTTGTCATTTATATTACTAAATAATACATACGGATAGTTAACCTCAATTGTATTTAGAGCACTTAGGAAGGTTGATGAGCACAGTTTTTTCACAAATATTTTCTAATATTAATTAGTATTTATATTCATTTCTAAATCTAATATTAATTTAAATATTCAATTTAAATCACTTCTGATTATAATTCAGACACACATATAAAATTCGCATTTGAAAACAAAATGAAAACACGTGTTTTAAATGTAGAAAGTCAATGCATGTGGATAAATAATAAAAATATAAATACACAGTGAACAGAGGCGGCGTGCGTGCCAACATGCGCCACTAACAGAGGTTCCATTCTGTTTTGTTGGTAGCATTTTTTACGAGTGTACATACGCGTAAGTTCACCTGCGGCTATATTCAGACTCGCCAAGTTACGTCGGTCGCATTGTAATGAGCGATTTAGTGGGCAACTTCATTCTGTTAATTTTGTGTCACGGTGCGCGCCCATTGTAAAATTTCACTCTCATCTATTTTTCCTAACGCGCCTAAAGAAGTATAACTTCAACTATTATTTATTTTTCATTTTTAGTGTCGTCAAGTCGTCGTGGCCTAAAGGATAAGACGTCCGGTGCATTCGTATGTAGCGATGGACCGGTGTTTGAATCCCGCAGGCGGGTACCAATTTTTCCAATGAAATACGTACTCAACAAATGTTCACGATTGACTTCCATGGTGAAGGAATAACGTCGTGTAATAGAAATCAAACCCGCAAAAATTATAATTTGCGTAATCACTGGTGGTAGGACCTCTTGAGAGTTCGCACGGGTAGGTACCGCCACCCCGCCTATTTCCGTCGTGAAGCAGTAATGCGTTTCGGTTCGAAGGGTGGGGGTAGCCGTTGTAACTATACTGAGACCTTAGAACTTATATCTCGAGGTGGGTGGCGCATTTACGTTGTAGATGTCTATGGGCTCCAGTAACCACTTAACACCAGGTGGGCTGTGAGCTCGTCCATCCATCGAAGCAATAAAAAAAAAAAATGTGTGCGTGTACTAGTGTACACACGTAAGAAGTGAAACTTGTTTATGGCCTTATTTTTCGAAAAATGATCTACATGCAACTTTCTAGAAATTGGTTAAATAAAGTTAAATTAGATAAAGTTTAAACAAAAGGATTTTATTATCATAGACATGAATACAAATAATACAATTATTTCACTTTACCTTTTTGNACAAAATAATGCGTAAACATTCATTAATAGCACAAAGAAAAATAAAATCCCCGATCATTTACGTTGATAAATGAAACAATTTTTAAAAATGAAATAAGTCAACCTCACTAACGAGCGAGACTCATTCGAAAAATAGGCAGAATCGATCAAACGGCCGCACGAATATACGAGTTCGCACTAGGGACGTGACTCGGACTCGTTGACTCGTTGCGAGTCAGTCTGATTGAAGTTCTCTTTACAGCATTGAACAGAGAACACTTCACCTAATGGAATGATATTGATAACGTGCAAAATAAATAATATCTCTAATCTGTTCTGTTCTTACTCAATAGCTCATCTAATCATCACTATATAGCTCTGTCTTCAACTTGAGGAATCTTGGTCATCAATCTTTGTATCGTGGTAAGTTGTTGTCAGATCCGATGAGAATATTTTTTTTTTATTGCTTAGATGGGTGGACGAGCTCACAGCACACCTGGTGTTAAGTGGTTAATGGAGCCCATAGACATCTACAACGTAAATGCGCCACCCATCTTGAGATATAAGTTTTAAGATCTCAGTACAGTTACAACGGCTGCCCTACCCTTCAGACCGAAACGCATTACTGCTTCACGGCAGAAACAGGTAAGGCACCTAAGGTACCTACCCGTGCAGATTCACAAGAGGTTCTACCACCAGTAATTACGCAAATTATAATTTTGCGGGTTTGATTTTTATTACACGATATTATTCCTTCACCGTGGATGGGATTCGAACATCGGACATCTTCGATTCGTCGACGATTCGGACGTTTTATCCTTTAGGCCACGACGACTTACGACTTATCACGGTAACATAAAAACTGCTAAAAATTTGGATTTGAGATCCAGATGTCTAATGCTATTCTACCCTCAAGGCCTCCACGCACGAAAGATTCTCCACAGCAACAGCTAGAACACGCCCAGGAATGAATGAATTAATGAATATATTTAAGGAGAAAGTAATTTATGTAGGACTATCACTAGATAGTCCACTAGTGCTATCTACTACATACCTTCAGCTACACCAGGTTTTAGTTTATCGTCGGAAGCTAAGCATTCGTTTTTACATTCTCTATTGTTCGTCTCAGTTTTAAAACTCGGTACAACTTTTTATTCCAGCCCTAATTAAATAAGCAATCGGCACATCATATAGCCTATATTATCTATCTATACTGCATATTATTATGTTATCTATACTGTTCATTGACAATATCAAACCTTTTTGGGTAAGATAACATCAACTCTCTGAACCCTGACATCGCCAACTGAAAAGATGTTGATTGATGACTGGAAAGATGAAAAAATACTAATAGAATCGTAAAGCCACAATGTAGCCACAATATAGCCACAATGTAGATTGTAAAGTGAACCGACTCCATGTGTTTTGTCGGACTCA